AGATATAATTCATGATAATTAATATATTTAACACACTAACATTACCTTCAAAATCACCCAACTCGTGCATTGCATGGGCAAAAACTAGTATAGGAAAAAAATGGAATTGAAAAAAAATTAAAAAAAAAAAATTCAGTGATCAGAACGGTTACTAAAAAAAGTTCAATGACTGTTCTGGTCACTAAACATTTTTTTTTTGACGAGTCACAAGCCTGGCTTGTGGGCTCGCTCAGCGAGCGTTCGTTTTCTCACTAGCATTCGCCTAGAAAACGAGTCGAGCAGGCTCGGGCTCATCTTTTGACGAGCCTGAGTAGCTCGTGGCTCGTTTTTTCATGAGTCAAGAGGCAAAGTCGACGAACCACTCGGCTCGATTGACACCACTAGTAATATCCATGCAGTACACTCAGTGACTTAGTTTGAAATTTTCTAACTTACACACTGTAAGATGACATCACGACAAAGTTTTGTTTTGAGAAATTTTGGAATTGTAGGCATGTGATCTTGCCATTCATATACTATCTAGTTATTGCATCTTCTGAACTTGTTCTACCATTATATCTAGGACAAAATTTCATTTCAAAGTTCAATCAAAGAACGAGAAAGATTTTTTGACAGTATAATTCGAATGAATCTTATGCTATGAAAATTAAGGAGCATTTCCATATATTTATGTTTTCTAGATATCTGAAACTATTCCATTGTGCTAACATCTTCTAGAAGACCAAAATGATATTTTGTAAAAGGAAATTATGAGAACGCAAACAAAGATAGTACTATTTATTATATTACACTTGGAGGCCATATAAAAGTTTCGTACATGTGTATGATCGGACCTTATGGAGTAGGCCGAGGCTCTGAACAAATTTAAGCCTCACAAGTTGGAGACATGTTGGCATGATTGTGGCCAGGGTTGAGGAGTTGGAGTCTTAGATCATTTCACGCATCAAGACAAGCCATCCCACAAGGATTACCGTACAAACCAATTATAAGGAGCTCAGATTGGGAGGAAACCAAAGCCAAGTGCCTCAACACATAACCCGAAGCTGGTTAACCAAAAACTTGAAAAGGCCTTCAAGATCTAGGAAAGATGCCCACAAGTTGATGAACATAGGACATTCAATTAGAAATACCCTACTGTAAAATATTTACTGACAGGTACCACTTATCAATGTATTTATCCAATAAGGCAAGTGTCATGTCATCAAATCAAAGTGTTAGATGTCATTTCACGCCCAATAAGGCAAAATGAGTGATTGGATGCGACAACGCAAATGAAAGCAATTCAACACCCTTGAAAATTGCCATGAGCTTGTAGGAATGACAGACAAAAGTGACTCCTATAAATAACCAAGAAAGTGATGTTGACGAGTCAGCCACCCACTCATTGTCAACATTTGGCAAGAAAACATTAGCTCAGGATTCGAATAGCCCCCATACCTTGAACCCTAAAAATATCCCCAAAATACACAAAGCTAAGATATGTGAAATAAAAAATTCTAAACCAAAAGTTTGTCAATTTGTTTCCTCTACCTAAGCTCTATATATGACTTGATCATCATAAAATGGTCTTGCATTCTAAACATTGACCTAGTGTGCAATAGGTATCGTACAAGTGGGCAGAGACGTGTTCGAATTTGTTAACTTTGGGGTTGGACAAATTTTGAGGTACTTAAAAATTCCTCTCATACCATCTACAAAATTGACTCCCATAATTTAGAAGTCTAGTTCAAAAAAGTGAAAAAAATTAGAAACTTCAAATTTGGATTTAGATATCTCTTCTATTTCTATATAACTAGCAAATCTTTGGCAACCCCCAACCATTTTCAAGAACATATTGCCTTCTTTGGTAAATTTCATTTTGTCCTATGATTCCACACTGCCATGTTTAGTATAGTATTAATATAACAATGTTACTATAATACACTTTGTTTCAAACTTGAGGACTAGCATTCATTCATTCATTCAAACTATAAAAAAGAGAAAAAAGAGGAGACAAAGGCTGTCAACGCTGTGAAAGAGAAAAACACACTCTCCCCCAGCACTTGATGCCGGCTGTTATTACAATGTGCACACTCAAATATATATACACAAATAAATATGTAAATGTGTGTATGTTCGTCTGAATATACATGGAGCTCGATTGAAGACTCTTTTCTCTGTGGGATTTATCAATCAAGAACCTAAACGAAGAAGAGAGCGAATGAGGAGGAAGAAGAGAAAAAGGCTGCAGCAAAATGAGAATAGTGTGAAGAGAGAGATGGTGACGGGCGTCCAATGCGACACGTGGCGTGTTCCCGTTGGATGGCTTCTGGGCTCTCTTCCCACGACAGACAACACATACCCTTGGCTGCCATGTCAGTGTGTGTAACCCCCCCATCCCCACCCCAAGTCCTACAACCTCGCTGAATCCACGCTTCATTCTCTCTCTCTCTATATTTATTTGGATTGTCTGCCTCTCTTCCTTCCCGTATACCCTAATCCCTCTTCGACCGTGCTCGACTGCTATCTTATTAGTTCATGTGCATAGAGAATTAAGCAAAAGTGGGTTTTTCGTATTGTGGGTTTTTTAATCCATAAAGAAATTTTGGTGAGTGCTTATTTTTATCTGGGCTACTTTTTTTTTTTTTTATTGTGTTTCTTAAGTGTGGTTCTGCAATTTTTCCGATTTTGGTGTGTATAGCTCTTCATAACGAACTGGGTACCGCTTGATTTTTGTGCATATTGTGGGTTTAGTTTTGATTTAAGTTAAATTTATGATTTTAGGATATTTTTGTTTAAATTGGAATTAATGCGCGCTTCTTTTAACCTGTTTTTGGTCCTTTGTTTATTAATTTGTTGTTGCATGTAGTGATCTCTGATATATATTAGACCATTCAGTGTTTATCTCCAGGTAAAAATGGGGCTTTGAGATATACTTTTGAATTTCGTTTAATGAAGTTGATCTATTAGTTCACTCATTGTGTCTGTATTTATAGAACTGTGAAGTTTCTTTTCAGTCTGTTAAAGTCAAGGATTTGATTGACATGTTGAGAAATTTACTTGCCAAAAATGATACAAAGTTACAAACCTTCGGTGTTGGCTGCTTATAAAATTTAAAGATAAAAGGAATAGAAACCAACTTATAGAATTGGGACTAGCAAAAAGATGACTACATTATGCATTTGGGAACTAGTAAAATGGAAAGGTTAATATGAATAAGATCTACGATTCCTGTGACTATCAATCCAACAAAGAAACATATTTGCTGATGAGGAAACTTATTAAAGAGGAAAAGGATATAAACGACAAGAAGATATACCCTGCTTAGACATTTATTCACAGTGCGTTACCACTTTTAATGTTATGGTTATATATCACATGGCATGCACAAGTTTATGTAAGGGTTAATTAGTTTAATAAATACTGGTCATAACTACATAAAAGAATATGACAAAAAGAAGATACCTGCTGCTCTCAGCATCCTGGATATGTCATGGAGTATAAATTTTACCTACCAATTATACAAATCCTAGTGCTAAGCTTACGTGAGCATCAAGCTGTTAAAAGTCTTAGTTCCAAGACCTTTCACAGACCATTTGTTTTAGTATCTGCAATGGACTTGCTTTTTGAGGTTTCCGTAATTTGAAAATTCAATTTTTGGAATGCCGTGCTTTTTCTATGATATTGTATGCGGCTAACTTCAGCTCTTCTCATGTCCAATAATCTAGTTTTTGTAAAATGTATATTGTATATATATGCTACTTGTTTTTGCTACAGGAATCACAAATTTTTGCTTTTGCTTTTAAGTTTCCGACACTTATTGTGTCCTAATTTGATCTTTAAAGCAATGTTGGGAACCTTCTCGCTAAGTTATTTTATAGCATTGTTGATTTAGTCATGCAAAGCACCCTTTAGAAAGGTATCTTATATGCACTTTTGTCGTTTAAGGAAATGATTGTAAGGAATTTGAAGCATAAGGGGGAGATGGATCTAACAAAATTATGTTACATTGATTTCAGGGCGCCAAAAGAGACTTCAATATTTTGTTGCTTATATATACACACACACTTTGTAAACTTTCCAAAGAAAAGAATGTAGGTGTTGCGCTGGTGAAGTTTGTCCGCGACTAAAAACTTCAATTTCTTCATTACAGATCTTAAAGGCATGATTTGACATCTAACAATGAAGGAAAGCTATTCAGATACGAGTAAAAACCTTGACAGAAACTGGGTCTTGAAACGTAAACGAAGAAAGCTTCCATGTGGTACAGATAAGTCCAGTGACAGGGGAAAAAATTCCAAATCTGTAGAATATCCATCAAGCACTTCATCCAAACGTGACTTGAACGAAAAAGTTTCTTCAGATCATTCTTATAGCAAGAAAAAAGGAACTGATGGGGTGAGCTATTTTTTTCTGTTCCTTCTTTAGTCCTTTCTTTCAAATATTTTGGCGACAACAAACCTCTTGAAGAAAAGGTGAAGTAAAAATGGAAAGGTTTATTGAAAATCAGGGTTGGAGCCAGCCTGTCGAAGTATGGGGGTCCTAGAGCCCCCGAATTTTATTTTTTTTGAAACAATATCTCTTAAAATGAGGGAAGTTGGTATTTTGAGATGGAAAAATGAAACAAAAGAATATAAATTAATGTACATTATTAACAAATAAAATCAAGAAACGTATAAAAGAAAGTACTAATATTAAATTTAGCAAAATCATACCTTATTACAAGCGTTCCTTTCGAGTTCTCATACTTTGATAATGTTGTATAACTACATCATCATCAATCATGTCGAATACATCCTTCTCAATATACACAAGCAAGCTATCATTTAAC